CAATTAACCACTAGGAAGAATGTATGCAATGTGTTAATTATTGAAACTGTCCTACCAATTTGGTTTGAAACTGTCTCATTGCTATTTGTTTCTCAGTAAAATTATGGGAAAAAAAAAGAAAACTAAAAGTAAAATAAAAAAAGAATTATTTATCTCAAGTGTCGCTCACCTCTGGATAAAGATGGAATCGTTTCACCGTATTAATCACAAGGGGATATTCGGTGAGCCTGTCGTTCATAATCATCCACAGGCCTTCCAAAAATGATGGTGCTTCAATAATAGTCTTGAAATAAGAATAATACAGTCCCTTTACAAAAAAAACAAGAAAGCATCGATGGTCAATATAAACAAAACTTTAAAAGATTTTATTTCATTTTACATTTTGTATTAGTACATGCAAATGTCACAGAATGGCAGGCTTTGTTTTGGGAGGCTTGTACACGCATTTGATATATCTTCGTCATTTTCGTCCCCACTTACACCTTTACTTATCCACCCTGCCTTTGGCAATGTCTTTTGCAATCTGCAAGTGTTTGCCTCCTGTTTCCTGCCACCTCTCCTGTATTTATTTATCTGATTTCTTAAATAAGAGAAAACATGATATTTAACTTTCTGAGTCTAGCTAATTTCACTTCACATGATGGTTTCTAATTCTACTCACTTTTTCTGAAAATGACATGATTTTGTTCTTTTTTATCACTGAGTAAAACATACTTTTATAATTTTATAGAACGTATTTTTCTGAAAAGAAGAGATTGGTAAGAATTCCTAATGACTCCTCCATTTGCATTAGTAGATTCAGATAACATTATTTCATATTATCGTTGAACTATTCCTTTAATTTTTCTGTAAACTTGAAAATGTTCAAACTTAGAAATTTTCTAATTTTAAATTCTAAAAAAAATTTCAGTCTGAGGATAATCAAATGTTTCAACAAGCTTTCCTTGGGCCTGGGGAGATAGCTCAGTAGAATAAGTGCTTGCCTGGCAAGCATAGGGTCCTGAGTTCAATCCCTGGTACTGCAAAAAAACAGAACAAAGCAAGCTTTCCTTTCCTTTTCTTTTCCTTCATCCTTTCCTTTCTGCTTTTGCTTTTTGAGACAGATTCTTGCTATGTAGTTCTAGCTGGCCTTGAGCTTACTCTGTAGCTCAAGCTGACCTCCTGGGTCAACTGTTGACCCTCTTGCCTGAGCCTCCCTGAGGAGGCTGGGATTACAAGTGCACACCGCCATGCTTGGCTAGCTTTTCTAATAGTGATTTTCCACAGTGTGCTTATGGTCATGACATGTTGTTTCTTAAGAGCATGGGGGAGGCTGGGGAGATGGCTCAGTGGAATAAGCGCTTCCCTGGCAAACACAAGGACCTGAGTTCA